ATTCTTACTTTACAGCATTTTTTCACACCTGCCTAAAACTTTTGCACAGTACTGTATATATTGTATTCAAGTACAATATATGAATATCAAGGTAGGTCTTCAGAGCAAGCCAAATCTAATTAAATTTTAGCTCTCTCTCTCTGTTTTTTTGCATTAACAGAAGTAGTTACCTATTTCAAAGAAGCAGTAAGTTCATCCTGCTTGAAGAAAGTAAAAAGTAATGAAGAAAGTTAAAGGCCCATATATTTGTGTCAATGTAATGGAAGGCATAGGTGAGGAGGAGACTGGTATGATCGAGGCTATCAGGAGGGAGGGGGTGCATTCCAGAGGAAGGAGCAAGGCAAGCACTTTCTCAGCCCACAGCAGGACTGTGAGAAGAAGAGAAGGCTGAGGCTAGCCCCTCCCTAGACTCTCACAAGGTATTTCTGCTAGTAGCTTTAGGATAGGTTTAGTCTGGTAAGATTCTGTCTATAGAGAGGAAGCAATAAAGGAACTACGCTGGACTGGACTGTTTCATCGTTCTTGGGCTGAACCTGACATTCAATCACCTGATGGTCATCTGTGCTTAATGGAGTCTTACTGAAGACTTTAAATAAATTATAAACAACAATTTTCTTGATCTCTCTTGGTGAGCAAAATAGCCTCCAAGCAGTCAAGCAGAGATGGCCTTGCAAAATGTCAGATAATTGTGTTTTTCTTTTGAGACTCTCCATGGAACATGCATGACTTACATAGATGTTTGGGCAGGGAAGAAACACCAGAAACTGACTCAAACCTTTTGTGGACCTCTTGATAACGCTGATTTATACAAGATACACACATTGCATAATCTATAATGTGGTATCAGTGAATAAGCCACAGGGTTTTATTGTGAGAGGTCAGTAAATGACACTTTGAAATCTTGGGGTTGTTTTGATTGGCTAACTGATTTACAGTTAAAACATGGAATCATGGAAACATGATTTGTGGCTGTCTGGCTGTTCTCAGTTCTCTAACCAATTCATAGAGCTGCAAAGCAACAGCTGTAGAGGAAGAGAGAATAAACAAACCAGATATAAGTTAATAAACATGGTTTAAACTATCTGTTTTCAACAAACCTTGCATAAATTATATTTCAACATACCTGTATGCAGTGAGTAAGTACTGAAGGATAGTTTATTTGAAGTGTATGAAGAGAAATTATGTATCCTAACATTCTGAATTGTCCGTATTTCATTTTCAGGGATGTGGCTTGAGTGTGATGACTTAAAAGGTTCATACTCCAGAAGACATGATAGCTTTGGGGTTCCTGCTGCAGAAGTACACATTGTCATTTGGGAAAGAAAGCCACCACAAACCACCAATTATCTGGATTTGCAGCTACAAGGTGAAGAAACAATGAATGTTTCTTCTATGACAACAGAATCAAAAACTCCAATTAAATCCTCTAATGATGAAACTGAAGACAGTGCACCTTTAACTAGTCACAAAGCAGTTGATATGCTGAACCCGCATATAGAGGAAGTACAAAATTTAGTTAGCAATCAGAAAAATAATTTGCTTCCGGGTTTGGAAAACCTGTCTGATGATAATGTTATAACACTGGATCTTGTAAGCATTCCGCTTGAGTCAGGAGGACCGCCCCTAGAAGATAGACATATTGTAGAAAATAAGCAAATAATCACAACAGCTCCACTGCAGTTGCAAGAGTTAGATCAGAAAGATGTCTGTCCACTTACCTCTGAAGGAGGTGATCAAACAGAGAGTGTAGTGGTAGGGAATACCAGTCATCCCATGCATCAAGGAGAGCCAACTGATGCAAGTAACTTAGTTGTCATGCCATCAGTTATTTTGAGTAATGGCAAAATAAATTTCTCATCAGAAAGATTACTACCGCAAGGGCTAGAATCTGCAGTTACTTTGGTTCCAATAGAAGAGAGCCACCCAAAGAATCCTCAGAAAAAAATCAAAACAAAATTGGGAAACACAGTGCTGGGAATGTCTAATGTAGAGTCCAGTCGAGAAATAATAAATTCTCACATTTCTGCTCCATCTCCCCAAAGTCCTACCTTTCAGTCACCCAGTACAAATGGAATTAAATCATCTGTAGCCAGTTGGGTAAATGGCTTACTTGGAAAATATCCTTCCTTTATGCCTAAAAGCGTATTGGTTCCTAATAAAGCAAAAAACTGTAAAAAAGTAATGCAAAAAGAAATGAATTCCAGTTCACTTGTTAGGCATGCAGGCCACTTCTGTGGTTTCCAAGCTAAATCTTCAGAAAAAAGTAAGGTTGCAGCATTGGATTCTTCATGTAGAACTCTGCCAGCCTCATCCCCGACCACCTTTTCTGTTGCAAACATCCCTATCAAAAATCATGACACTGATAGCAATGGTGAAGCTGTAACTAAAAGAGCAACTTCATTGAACGGTTATACTGAACAAAATCAGCTGAAAAAAACCTGCAATGAAAATCAAAACCCTACTTCTGTTGAAAATACTGAGTCATTGATTGATAAAACTCATGAACTACGCTTAACACTTTTACAGCAGCTTAAAGCTAAAAAAGAGAAATTAGCTTCCCTAGACAAACTGGTAAAAGCTAAGAGGAGACACAGAAACTCTTCCAAGAAAACTATCAAAGACCAGACAGAGCTTGGATCCCAAAAGCAGACTGAACTCTTGCAGACAAATTTGTTAAATACCCAGCAAATGCAGACTGATGTTTGGGATAGTAAATCTCTTAATTCTCCAAGCACTATGTCCCAGTGCAGCAGTTCAAATTACGATGATATTTTGTCTGAGCTGCTGTTGTCTCCAGCTATGACTGTTGGTTCTTTAGAATTTCCACAGGAAGAAGAATGTAGATATTTGGAAATGGGAAATGGCAGTTCAGACACAACGGTATCTACTGTCCAAAATGCTGATTTACAGGTCACAGATTGTGACCTTAGTTACTTTAGTCCTCTAAAGGAAAATGGATTTGAAGGCCACAGAGACCTGTTAGCAATCAAATCACCTCTGAAGAAATTCAGTTTTGAAAGTTCTGCAAAGCAGGATCTTCTGGATGATCTGCTGTCATGTTCAGTATTGAATTCAGTAATGACTAATATTGAAGACTTGCATCACTTCGATGAATCGTTGTTAGCTTGATGAATTGCGTTTTATCAATTTCCGTATTTGCCTTCGGTTGGCTTTAAAGCAGGGTGTAATTTAAATTCAACCTAATTTGCACATGGTTCTACTTGACATATTTAAAGTAAATGTTTTTTTTATATTTTTATTAATAAATTGGGTTTGTTTTTCTGCCTCAAAACAGCTGTTAGCTAGAAGAGATGAGACTGATTCTTGTATAAAGTGGTGGTGACAAAGTTTTAAAACTTTAAAAGCCATTGTAGTAAAGTAGCATTCACCCAAGATCTCTCATATCTATGGTTGAGCTTTAAAAAAAAAAGCCCTACAAACATCTCTAAAAGTGTATAATTCTAGATTTCATGGTAATTTCATTTCTGATAAACCTCCCTTTTCAGAAGTATGTCTATTGGCTAAGCTAAAAGTTTTTAAAGAAGCCATTTTATTTCCATTTTTTTCTGTTCTGATGAAATGCCTATCTAAAGCAATGGTCTACATAACAATGTGAATGTTAACACATAATCTGTCCTGCCTGTTGTTTTTTATTAAATATTAGGCCTTAAATGTAGATGAATTACAAGGTTAAGATTTAGCTTTCAGAGATTTCTGCTAAAACTAGGGATCTGTGACTCCTGTTAATCCCCAAATCCCTTGGATTTGATTTTGAAGTGTTAAAAGCAACTTTTGAAGTTTCAACCATATTTTCCTTTTCATCCGCAGCTCTTTGGGTTCAGTGTGTTAAATATTCTAGTCCACCACCTTAAATACCAAGATGGCAATTCATACATCACAAAGAAGTGATACAGATAAAAACAGACTAACTAAATTTTTAAAATGGCTAAGTTCCGTTACATGTCAAACTACCCTATTGCTTAGCACATTGTGTGCAACAGAATAGTTATTCTTACTTCAGGTGGGGAAAGTCCACTTTTATATTCGCCAGACTACCCTTATTTGCCGGTTATTAACTTCAAGTTATTTGCAACACTGTTACTTATTTGCACAATTTTTATCTCATCATCTCATCCTAAAATTTTGTTTCTTGGAATAATGGTGAATATTGAAAGTTGTAAGAAATATACATTATCAGCATGCAAACACACTTGATATTCAGTATACCATATTTCATGGATACTGAATTCCCTATTGTTTGAAGTTACCTGGCTACTGATAGTTCTATGCTGGCATCTCTTAAACATCTTTTTGTTTAAATAGGATATTTTGTTATTCTACTATTTTTTCTTGTGTTTTAATTTGTATTTTTTATTTAGATTGCCACAAGAGAAGGCAGCACCTAACAACTTTGGTTAATTCTGAACAAAAGTAAACACACACACACACACACACACACCTCTCTCCAGAAGTCAGTCAGTCAGTCTACCTACCCACCTACCTTTCTCCAGAAGAGGGTAATGGTGAATTACTGCTGTATTGTTGCTAAATAAATGTAGTTATGAGGGATCAAGTTTGACCCGATGAAGATTTTACCTTACTTTCATTATAGTTAACTTGATGTTTAAAAGTGCTTTTACCTGATTTTAATACTTCCTTGTGAAAATATTTTACTGGATTTTGTTATTGGCCTCCTTGGGCAATTGTATTTTAAAGAAAAGGAGATTATACATTAAATAATAGGGTAGAACCTTGATTTAATGGATCATTTGGGGAAGGGGCACTAGTTCAGAAGGTCCATGAAATCTGAATGTGTACAATTTCTGCCAAGTAATTTATGTAATCATGTCAGCATGCAAATGACAGAAATTGATGGAAATAACATAGATTTAAATGAATCACTCAGACTACCTCAGGCAAAATGGATCTAGTCTGTTACTTCAGGGGATGTTAGGACACCAATTTGTTCTGTAACAAATCTGAAATCCATTAAGGTAATC